CCCGCGTGGCTTGTGAGTTCACGTGAACCCATCATATTAATCCACGCAGAACCACCAAAGGGTGGAAGGATGGAAACTTTACCGCGAAATGTTACGTAAGAATCGATGGTGAAATTTATCACTACGACTGGATGCCAGGAGACGATTGTTCACACCAATTCTTCATCTTTTTCCTTTTTTTTTCGTGTCCTAACGTAAAATATTCATTTTTTCAGGCAACAACGACGAGATAGCGACGATGAATTTTTTAAAGCAGCAGTGGGGGGCGGTGGTCGCCCGGGATTTATTAAGAAGGCGTCGGAAAAAGTCATCAGCAAAACGGCTCCAATTTCCAAAGGTAATTGAACCGGTGGAACCATTCATATATTTAATAGTTTTCATATTAATATTTTTTTTTCTTTAGTCAGTATATTACAAATAGTATGTACAATAATTCATGCACACCAAAGAAAATGATCTTTTTACAATTTGTTGGATCCGTTTAAAAAAATCAAAAACATTTTACAGGCCGGCTTCTCGATAAATGTTAAAGAGGTAGATGTAAAAAGATAAAATAAATTTAGAATAAAAAGAGCACATAAGAATGAAATAGTACAAGAAAAAGAAAGAAAAAAATAGAAAAGAACAACAAGATGGCAAGGATGAAAGACAAAAGAGATACAAGATAAAAGAAAAAGAGAGGAAGGTGGCCAAAAGTGTGAAATGCCTAACTATATGTACAAGACGAAGTATTTGAATAGATCTGTCTTGCCAGACCTATTTTATTTTAAAATAAGGACACAAAGAAAGGTACAGCCTTATAGATCAACATCATGACGTCGGACTTTTTTGAAGTTAGGTGTCTACGTTCCTTTCATACCAAAATTGATTTTTTTGTTTCATCTTTCCTTTCTATTTTACAAAATTCTGCTCTTCACCCAGTGCCACTGAATCGGTTAAACATTTTGAAGTCACTATTGTATTTTCATTTCTGTTTCAGCCTGATAATCCGCCAGCCGCCTCATGAACCATGCCCATCACATGGCCGCAATTCAATTCAACAGAATGGAGTGTTACCGTCAGTTGGGGACAGTTTTGAACTTTGAACTTTTGTTTGAGTGTGAAATAATAAATTGTT